ATGTGCCTTGAAGGATTCCATCCTTCTGCTTGCTGTGCAGACATCTCCAAGAATACACTGAGGGCCAGCTAAGGCCAAGGGCTTCTGCTCAGTGCAGCGAGGTCTGCCTCCATTCTCATCCTCCTCTGCCCCACAAAAGGTCTCCTGTTACCCTTTCTAGCAAGCTGGGGAGGATGACCTTAAACTTAGGTTCTGGGAGATGAACGGGAGCTAAAGAAGCCGTCCCACTGATCTCTGCCAGCTGCAGGCATGGGGCCACCAGCACGGTTTTATTACTGAGCCCAGAATAGTACCACAGAGCCCAGGGGGGCTACATACAAAGCCACATTCTGAGTCATTTTCTATTTCTCCTCCTGTGTATAGAATGCATGGGGCGACTGACAGATCAGTAGATCCCCAACCTTCGTCCCTTCGAAGGGATTTCTGAATGTCACTGAGGATGGCCTGTCACTGACTTGCAAGGAATAGAAACTCTGATGGTCCCTAACGAAGGGTGACAGGGTCATTGTCTCACCACGTCACCAGGGCTGTTACCTAGCACCTGTCACTGGGCTCTGAAGCTAGCTGTCATGCTGACAGATAAATAAGGAGTGGGTCTGAAGAGCAGGCAATAGCTGGGCACCTATGACCTCCAGAGACAGTGACAGGAGGTTGGCTGGGCCATTAATCACAACCTGAGCCTTCTGGACGACATCTTCAGCATCTGCTTTCCCAGCTGTCATGAGTCTCCTGCTCCTCTTCTCACAGATAATCTCTTGACTGAGAAGGAATACAGAGCCTCTGGGAGCCGGGGTCCTGGCACAGGGCTCGGTCTGGATAGGGCTGGAGAGTGGGCCTCGGCAGGGCTGAGGTCACCAGACATAAATGGACTCCTACTAGGGCACTGGGCGGCATTCGCCTCCTCCAGGAAACCGTAAGCTTCACGAAGGCAGGGCCTTTGTTCATCCCATCCTCATCTTCATCTGCACATGCCTGCGACAGTGCCTGCCTGAAACACGGAGTGGTAGAAGAGTCAATATGTGTTTGAGTGAAGAAACGTTAGTTGACTTCTGAACTCAGATCTTCTGGTGAGTGCCTCTGGGAAAATCTTTTCCCTCCATGAGATCTTCTTCTCATCCTGCATGTTTTGTGTTCTTTACAACCTTTGGCACCCTGTTAAAAAGACCTCAGTGTGTGGAAGCAAGAGGAAATATTTGGGGTGACCACCGAATCCACCTGGATTTGTGATCTCCAACACCCCCATCTTTGAAACAACTTTGCTTATCTCAACCCAGAAGTCATAGCAAGGCACAGTCATGCAGGATCTCACCAGAGGCGGCACTGGCCCCTAGAGTGGGTACACAGACACTAGCTCTGGTGGTGTAGAGATGGAGTCTTTCATGTCCAAGTCAGCCCTGGTTTGTAGGGAAGCACCCATGCCTGTGTCCCAAGCATTCAGAGTGTGTCAGCTCCCTTATTTGTCCACTCATTCCTTAAAGTTTCTTAAATGCTCACACACACTTATTGGCACACAAGGTAGGAAAGTGAGTAGTCAGGAGACCTAAGAGAGCTGAGTACAGAGTGAGGGAGCATGGAGAACAACTGATTTCAGTCTCCTGGATCCAGGAAGACACCTGGAAGTGGTCACTCTTGAGCAGAACGAGGCCAAGTAAAGAGGAGGTGGGAGCCAGGTGGGGAGAGAAACGTCAGACGCATCACACACTCTCAACTGTGAGAGTTAGAACTGTTCTTGGGAACCCTGAAGTCCCAGACCTGGGAAGTGGGGAGCAGCACTCATGAGCCCAGAGGGCAATGATGCCACTGTTGACCAATGGCTGGGTGGGTATGGGCCAAGCATTGCTAGGTAAATGCTTCCTGGACATTTGATTGCTCATCAGAATGTGGGGAGGCTGATACTGGGGCTAGACCCATCTTCGAGACGAGTAAAGACAAATCCAGAACGAAGTGAGCTCACTGTGGTCCGCCAGGGGCTCAGCCATTCTGATGTCCCTGATAGCCAAAGTGGTGGCAAGGAAGACCTGGCTGGTCCTCGCTACCTGGGTGCTGGGCTACCCACACTGCCCATGTGACCCTGGAGGTTGCTTGGAGAGCAGAGGACACAGCTGAGGAGGGACCCTCTGCGTAGTAGGGCTGTGCCTGAGGACAGAGACGTCAGACCTGGGCCTGGCTGCCACCTTGTAGGACAGCAAGCTGACTTCCGTGAGCAGCTCTAGAACATTTCCTGGGGAGCGGTGAGGAAAACTGTTGCCTCCACCTGATTTTAACATCTTTGGAGGCATCACGTTACATCATCAGAGAACAATGACAGGCTTCTTCCTTTACAAAAATATATTTCATAAATAAACGTCCTATACATTTTTAACAGGGCACTCACAAGGTAATTTCATCTTTATTTTTCTTCATGGTGCTCCTTGCTCTCTGACAGTGTATTTATTTCCTTGTTTATCATCTATGTCCCCAGCAAGGGCGTGTTTCACGGAAGAGCAGGGTGGCTCCACCTGTTCCCAGGGTCCTCAGTGTGGGCACAGGGCCTGGCACAGAGGAAGTCACAGAAACTCACAGCATCCAGGCCTAAAAAAATATCAGTGAAACGCAATGCCACGAAAGCAGTGTGAGTCTGCTCCTGACTTTCTTAATGGCTTTGGGGGGACCTAGCTGGAGCTCAGAATCACCACCTACTTTTGTGTGGCATGTATGAGGGGATGAACTGTGACCTTTTAAAATTATTGTGGTGAAGTCCTAACCACCCGGTACCATAGAATGCCTTTAAAGAAGTGATTAAATTAAGATGAGGTCTAATCCAATCTGTGTAGGAGAAAACCCTAACACTAAACCCACAGCGGCTGCATGCTCAGAGAAAGGACTATGTGAGGACACAGCAAGTGGTGGTCACCTGTAAGCCAAGGAGAGAGACCTCAGAGAAGCCACCCCCACCAAGCAGCACCCTGTTTCAGACTTCCAGCCTCTGAGACTGTAAAAAAATAAATCTCCACCGTTTAAATCACTCAGCCTGTGATGTTCTGTTACAGCATCTCCACCGAAAGAACACAACATACTGCACCTTCCCTTTGCCACATCTTCCTGGGGTCTAAGAACTATTGTTTCCATTGCAGAGGTAAAGAAACCGAGGCCCAGGGGGAAAAGGACTTCTCTGAGGCTCCAGGACACCATGTGTTCCACCACAGGGAACTGCAGGAGAGCCGAGCCCCTGAGCCCATGTCCTACCCTACGCCGACCCCCTGCCCAAGTATAGTAGGCTCTAGAGTAGTGCCTTCCTCCACACCAGGGCCTCCAACTCCCCACAGAGGTCCGGACATCACCCGCTACCTCCACAGGTCCCAGCTCTATCTGATGAGCTGGAGCCCCTCCCAGGAAGGGCAGGCTGGTGGTGGCTGATCCTCTGATACCATGTGCCTGTGAACTCATCACGGGAGAACGTACTGCCCTGGGGAGAATAATCCCCTGCTCCCTGACTCACTCCACTGGAGAGGCGGCAAGACAGCCAGACCTTCTGGGGAGGGGCCCTCCGGCCCCATCTTCCATCTCTGCCCACTGCCACCTACAGCCTCTGGGGAAGGTTCAGGGCTGAGGCCCCTCCCCGTTGGCACGAGCTCTCATCAGCTGGTACAGGCTGGATAGTGCCTGAGTCCACACCAAGTGATGAACACAGAGACAAAGGAGAGACTGGGGGAGTGGGGGTTGCTGAAGTTCTAAGCTCCAGTACTTGTAAACAAGCTTAGTGATAAAGTTAAGGCACCTGAGTTAGACTGAGGTCACCAGCCCCGGTGCTGTATGACTGGTGTCCTCATAAAAGAGGAAAGTTTGAGTACATGACAAACACACATGGGGTAAGATGATGTGCAGAGACAGGTGGACGAGAGCCACTGAAAAGCCAGAGAGAGAGGTCCTCAGACACCCATGGAGGAAGCAATTCTGCCAACATCTTGAGCTTGAACTTCTACCCCCCAGAACCGCCAGACAACACATTGTCTTGCTTTAGGCATTCACTGTGTAGCACTCTGTCACTGCAGCCCTAGTAAGCAAATCCATTTATGACCCAGAAAGGAATTCCCTCCCACAATGCGTCGGTAACTGGCCACACTGGCGGGGTCCTAGGGACAGGTGGAGTTATGTCAGGGGCAGGATATTGAGCTTGTCTAGTGGAAATTTACGCAGAGGCCGCAGTGGCTACCCGAATAAATCTAGGCTAAATATGCCAGTCCCACCTTTGTAAACAAGGGAATAAATCAGCGCATTTATCTTTCAGGACTTTGTAAAGCTGTGGTGATTCACACTAAGTAAAATGCTTAGCGTAGCAACCAGCACATAATACATGATCAAAAAACATTAGTTGATAGTTTTACTATTATTAATACTTCAAAGATGTTTGAAGAAACATATTTCTACATCGTAAGTTGGAAGATGTGCTGGGATGTAGTTTCTGGTGCCTGTGTGCGTTCAAATGTGTGGGCGGGGGCGGTGGTGGTCGGGCCCTGTGTGTGCGGAGGTGGATGGGGCCGCGTGGGTGCTCACAGGTTCTCAAATGTTGATGCGGGTGCCCACTAATAGGGACACAAAATCATGAGCCCCATGCCTTCAGGATGCATGGGCTCATTTATCTGTTCACTGGCTCATTGATTCATGCACACACACACACACACACACACACACACCGTTACATACACACCATGTAAATGTATACGTAGGGAAAACAAAAGAGCTGACAAGGGATTCAAGGCGCATGGAGCATGAGCCTCTGCTTCAGGTCGATGACCTGGGAAGACGTCCTAAAGGAGGCCTCTCCCCAGCTCACGTGGCTGGGTGAAGAGGAAGAGGAAGGTTACTGCATGTACACACGTGGAGAGACCGATGGCATGTGAGCCCTTCATGGCAGTGGGGCTGATCCCACTCTTGAGGACCCTGGCAGCCCAAGGCAGCCCGTCAACCTTTCAGAACCCCAGGTGGCACAGTCAGGGATGGAGACCAGAAAGGAAGCCAAGGAAACCAACTTTATTTTGCACAGACCAAGCACACAGGGAGCCCCGTACCCCCGGCAGGATATGGCTCTCCTGGTCCATCTGGCCTCTTGTGGGTGGCTGTGATGCTCCGCACCGAGGGCCCTGGGGAGGCTCAGCCAGTCGCTCTGCAAACAGCTGTGGAGTGTGGAAGTCTCCAAGGGCAGCCGCATTTCAGGAGCCTGGAAGCAAACAGGTCAGAGCTGAAGAAGGGGATGTAAGCTGGGGATGTTTGGAAGGGGAGAATGAAGGGCTAAAAAACTTGGCATTCTGTGCTCCTGGGGACATTTCTATGGAGGGTCTACTGCGCGGGATGACAGAGCGTGGGCAATGGGAGGGAAAAGATGCGAGGAAAGGCTGACACAGGCTTCCTAGAGGACCCGTTACAGACCAGACCTTAAATGTCTCCCAAAGCTTCGTGTGCAAAGGCTTAGCCCCCAGCTGATGTTTATGGGAGGAGAAGAAGCTTTAAGAAGTGAGCCCTAATTGTAGATCTTCAGGTCACTGGGGTTGTGCCTTCGAAGAATTCTGGGGCCCTGTCTCTTTCTTTTTTGGCTCCCCAGCCCCGAGATGAGCAGTGTTGCACATGCTGCCTCGCTGTGAGCCCAAAAGCAACACGGCCAATCAATCATGGGCTGAGACCGTCAACATCAGGACCCAGAATAACCCTTCTCTCCCCGTAGCTGCACTCTCTCGGGCATTTGTTACAGGAATGGAAAGCTGACCAGCACAGGACCCGATCCTCAAATGCAACCTAACCAGCCGTGGAGGCATCCACTGGGTGCCAGGCTCTGTGCTGGGGTCCCTCGCACTCTCCTTGAGCCCACAGCGGGACTTTAGGTAGCTGGCATTGTGACCCCCCAATTTCCAGCAGAGGACAGAGGTGCCTGGCAAGGCACCACTGCCTGCCCAAGGTCACGGGGCTGGGCGCAGGGAAGGACTGAGTCTGAGGGCTCCTCTGACTCCAGAGCCCACTGGCGCTGCGCAGCTGGAAAACCAAGGCAACTGTGGACAGGTGCACTGCCGTGACAGAGCACAGCCTCTGAGAAGAACCTCACTCAGGGGAGGAGAGAGGCCTTGAGACTTAAAAAATATGGCAGAGACAAGATGTTCTGTGACGACTTCTGCTAAGCACTGTTCCCCTTATGGCCGTGTGCCCTTTACTTGGCCTTTGAAACTGCTTTCCATGTCCCCGAGAGCATAATAATGTAAATGAGTATCAGATCTTTACTCGGTAATTGAGAGCAGAAAGAAGGCCATGTTAAGTCACATTAATTTGCTCTGATGCAGTCCCAGCTTGTCTCCACGGAAGGGGCAGTGACTTTTTGATAGGCTAAGGGTGCCTGTCGAAGAAGCAGGTGTGTGCCAAGAGGGATGTGCAGCTCAGTCTGGTCACGGAGGTCTGGGGGCTGTGGCAGTGTGCGTACTGAGCAACTGTACGCGACTGCCCGACCACCTGAGCCTGGGGTGCTGCGAGTCAGAACTGGGAGGTACAAGTGTGCTGTGGGCTACTGGGCAGCCCCGATACCACTCATGAAGATGCTTGCAATGTGTGCCCGAGGGAAAGTACTGGGGATGAAAAGGAAGAATGCTGAGCTTGGAACCTCAGTTCTGCCCGGGCGATGCTGTGTCATGGACTTCACCTCTCTGACCCTCAGTTTGTCAGCTGGGGAATGGAATAAAATGGAACAAAATGCTGACCCCACCTGGGGGTATCATGAATCCTAAATGACTAGGTGATGTATCCTCTCAATAAAATAAGCCATCATTAGCAAGGAATCCCTCTCCCTATGTTTATCCCAAAGAAGAACCAGGATTAGGAGCAGAAGCCAGGGCAGAGAGAGAGGAGGAGGACTTCGCCCACGTTGCTGTGCTGCGATCTTTGCGCGTGACTCCCACACCCAATGCTGGGCCTCAGTTTCCCTCTTCATATGATACAAGGGTAGACTCCACTGTTCTACAGCCTCTTCCATCCCAGCCTTGTGAGGTGCCGTGGTGCCTCTGTGGTGTCTCCCACGGTGCCAGAGGCCTCACAGCCTCGTCGCTCCCAAGTGGAAGGGGAGTAGGAAGGCAAGACCCAGCTGGAGAAGCTTTAGAAGCCCAACACCTCCTCTAGGGTCACCCCAGGGCCCTCGCGCTGCCCCATGCAGCTGTATTTTAAAGTGCAGTGGAGTAGGCAGCCCCCATGGAGAAGCTCTGCGTCCCACCACACATGATTCCGGCCCAAATCTCCAAAACCCTGGTGCAGGCAGTCACGGAATCAAAGGCAGAAGAGCCACTGTACTCTGCGAGGCTCCCAGGCCTGGGAGGACTCGCTTGTCGCAAGGAGGGCTGCAGCCTGGCACTTTACCTGCGCTCCTCCCTACTTGGGGAGGTATTTCTTCATGATGCTCTCCACGTCTTCCTCTGTCCTTCCTGTGCCCAGCTCTCTGCTGTCAGGGGACATTCGCTCACCACTGTCACCTTCCAGGCGCCCGGCTCTCGGCTGGCTCTTGATGCTGTGTGCACTTTTGAAGGACACGACAGAGCTGGAAGATGAGGACGAGTCAGAGAGGAGGGCGGGGTCCTCCTTGGACTCTTTGCTCTTTTTCAAAATGGTCTTGATCCCTGAGAGAAAGGACCGGTCAGCCTCTTCCATCTCAAAGTGGGCACCTAAATGTTTTGAACCCTCCTGCCCATCTTTGGCTGCCCCTGCCAAGGATGGGAGCGTCTCAGGCTTCCGGATGGCAGGGAGGAAGTCATCGAAGTCCACTCTGGCCTTGCGTCCATAGCTGAGGCTTGGAAGCGTCCAGCTGCACGGGTCACTGCCTAGAGGCTCCTCCATCAGGTGGGCAAACTGGCGGTTCTGGAAGACAAGTGGCTCCTTGCCAAGGTCTGGGCACCCCACATCGTCCACTGAAGACTCCAGACAGCGCCTCCGAGGACGCAGCGTGGGTGACAAGAGCGTGTCCCTGGGGGTGGTCGGGGAGCTTGTTTTTGTCCTCACGCTGGGCTCTGATTCTAAGAGGGACTCACAGGAACTGAAGCGGGTCTTCAGCCTCTCTGGGGCCGGGCTCCTGCCCTCAACATCCCCCGAGGAGATGCACTTGAGGCTGGTGGACCGCAAGAGACCAGCAGATGTGCCAGGGGCCTCCTCCACCCCCAGGGGGGACTTTGCCTGTAGCCTCAGGGCGAGGTCTCCCTCATCACTGCCAGCCCTACTCCTCCTGAGCATGGACGCGCCGGTGGTCTGGTAAATGGGGAGCGTGGGCCAGTCCTCCAGACTCAGTGTACAGCCCTGGCCTCTCTGGGCCCTCTTCCTCCGCAGTCCTTCCACGAACTCCGAGAGCGCCGCTGATGGGCTGGGCAGCTTCTCCCTGGGCAGCGGGGATGCGTCTGGACTCCTAGAGGCCACAGGAGTGGACAGAGCTCCCGATCTCTCCATGGGCTTTCTATGGACACCGAACCCTTCACCGCCCCCCAAATGACAGGATTTTTGCTGGTGGGCAGAGCGCGGAGAAACAGAGTAGTCTCTTGAAGTCTTGCCCGGAGCATCCCGAGCTCGGCTCTCAGCATCTCCGGCCTCTGCAGTCATCCTGTCCAGGAAGAAAGATGCAGACAGTAGAAATTGTGCAATTCATACAATTTGCGCAATTGCTGCGAGGCCGCTGAGCACAGGCACTAATATTATTTTTTTCCTTTGGAAATGCCATCCCTACCACATTCTCAAATGAACCATATGATTTAATGTGCAAATTCGAGCCATGTAAATGATTTCTTGTTGCTTTCTGAAATGCAATTTCTGTCTATAATTAAACCCAGCTAAGTACATTTGAGCAGATTAACGCTGCAGCTAGGATGGATGACTTAGATTTATGAGGCATCATCTCTGATATGATAGAACGGAGCATCCTGGAGACTACTGTGAAGTAAGTAATTTGCCTCTCCAGGACGAGTGGGACATGCAGAGGGCAATTTACTTATTGAGGGCCAGGCCCACAGCACAGTCCCACTGAGCAGAGCTTCTGAGCAGTGGGGTTCCCTGTGACACCTACCATCATTTCATGGAGATGGGGCACAGATTAAAAACTGTCCCCCCTAACAGCGAGAGAGTCACACGAAATCAACTTGAAACCAGATCTATACACACAAGGACAGGCGGTGTCTATTCTGGGGCTGTACTGGCCCCGGCTCTTATTCAGAGAGAGTTTGTAGCAGCTGAGCCAAAACCATGTCGCCTCTGGAAAGTAGGGGCCTCACAGTGGAGCAAAATTATAGACTGGAAAATAAAGGGCATCCTTTAAAGCAGAGAGAATAGAGTCCATCAGCCTTTCCTTTAACAAATAAAATCTACGTGTCCTCCCTCAAAGACAAAGTACCCCTTTCCCGCCCACCAGCAAAGTCATAATTTATAAAAAAGCAGAGAGGAGTGCCAAATGTCAGATTCTGGCACTGCAGACAAAGCTGTGGGTGCAGGTCTGTGGAGAGGTGGAGAGCCGCATAAGGCTGCCAAGGGTTAGGCCCATGGCTCTGACGGCGACAACTGGACAATCGTAGGAGTCGGCCTTCTCCACACCGGAGGTGTTTGGGATTCTGGTACAAACCGAGGAGAACATTTTGCTCTCCTAGCTGGGTATCAGCACCTGTACGCCTCTTTGTACGGGGTGGCCATGACCAGAGGGCCTTGGAATCTGAGGAGGCCAGGCCAAAGGCCGAATGGCCCAGAGGTGACAGGAAGGTAGATAGGGCTAGGGGGTTAGGGCCCTTCCCGGGGAAAGAGGTCGGGAGTGTAGTGGACTGAAGGATCGCATGCCTGCCCCAAATTCTTGTGTGGAGACCTCACCCTCAAAGTGATAGTATTAGAAGGCAGAGCCTTTGGGTGGTGATGAGGTCACGAGGGTGGACCCCCCTGGGTGCACCTGGTGCTCTTGTGAAAGGCCACAGAGAGTTAGTATCTCCGCCCTTCCTCCACGTGCAGACAAACTGAGAAGACAGCCATCTATGCACACTGACCTTGGATTCACCAGCCTCCAGAACTGTGAGAAATGTTTCTGTCGTCTGTAATTCACCCAGGCCACAGGATTTTTTTTGTTAAGGCAGCCTGAAAGGACTAAGACCCTGCCTTTCTGAGCCCCTGAGGCGAGAGCTTCAACCACCCTGCAGGCCTTTCTCCTCCTAGGCTGGTAGGAGTCCCCAGCGCAGCGCCTATGGGAGGCCACCAGGGCCACTAAAGGCTCTCATGAGGATTCATACACCCTGGGTCTCATGGATGGAGGAGGGCTGATACCGCAGACTAGATATGGCATAGACCTGCAATTTCAAGGTGCCGATGCAGGTGAGTCACCGGCTCACCATATTCTCCAGAAAGGCAACTTCTGAATGGTCGGGCTCCCCAGCACCCCTTCTACCTTAACCCCCTCCCCTCTTACTCTGCCTTGCTCCACCGCTCCTGGGTCAGGATGAGTGAGCCTTGACTGCCTCTGAAGTTTGCATTTGCTGTTCCTGCACTGGGAGCAACCCTTCCACCTCCTGCGCCCTACTCAGAGCTCCGACCTCACAGGCAGGGAGGAAAATGGGGAAAAGCCCTCGATACCTTGCCCGCTAGCAGATTACGCAGTGACAGTGAACAGCCAGGAGGGATAATTCATAACCAATCATGGAGAGTCATCAGTCTTCAATCATTAACAATTTGTGGTAATTATCGTGACCCAGCGATGGACACAAGAAGTTCACGGGGTGACAAACAGGGTGACCTGGCCGGTGACTGTGCATCGGAAGGGTGGGCCCCTGTGCCAAAACAGAAGCCGCACAATTTGCCTGGTGCAGCTGCCTCCTCTCCCATCTCTTGCCTGTCACTTTTTGTCACCATCACAGCAGGACACAGGCTGGGAGAGGAGCCGGAGGCCTCTTTTATAATTACCCAAAGGCATGTTTGTCAACATCATCACTTTAAAATCGCTCCCCAAATATATAAGGTGGCAATCACACTCCCTTATTTATTTATTTTCTCTTTTTAATAAACAGCTCAGGGCTGCTGGGCCAGTGGGCTGCTGCTGAGCTGACAAAAGTCATTTCCGTCCTGTCTTAGCCCAGAAAGGAGGCGGGAGTGATGGATGGGTCTTGGGCGCTCAGACTCATCCATTGCCTGGCACTGGGGATGGCAGAGTGGGCGTGGGGGACGCTTACAACCACATCTCCTGGGACGCTGCCATCTCGTGCCCTCAGCTCCCAGCACCACTACAGGCTACAGATGCCAGCACAGGGCACAAGGAAAGGAAGGAAGAGGAGTCGCAAGAAGACGGGGAGGAGGCAGTGAAAGGTGAGCCAGGATACGGAAAAGGTGAGCGTAATGTGGGGAGGTGGGAGAGTCGGGATGAAGGCTCAGGTGGCAGGGTCTGGCGGTCTCTCGTCCTGCTTCCCCTGAATTAGTGCCAAGCCTGGAATGGAAAAAATGCTCAGTAAATGGTGCCAAACTCAATCAAGGCAGATCAGGAAAAGGAAGTAGGCAACTGAGGAAAGCAGAGGAGGGACAGAGATGTGGGGTGAGGAGGACGTGGCTGGGGGGTGGAAGCAAAGGGAACAGAGCAGACAAGACGGAAGGCGAAGGGGAAGGGGAAGAGGGAGGAGGGACGGGAGAGGCACTGGTGACGGAGGAGAGGAAGAGGAAAGAGGCAAAAAGGCTAGGAGAGGGGCAGATGGAAACAACGATCTGCCGTCTTCATCCTGGACACAAAGCAGGGCCAGGCAGGGGGACGGAGCAGGAGCCAGGAGCCCAGGACGTGTGTGCTGCAGCACAGGGTGTGACCTTCCCGACCCCGCCAGTTCCTCAGCGATGCCTTCTACAAAGTGTGAGAGCCAAAGCACCCGGCTCACCGCTCGGGCCCCATGGCTGTCCTGGGGGGCCCAGGGTCTTGGGACGGGCTGGGCTGACTGCATGTTTCTGGGATGGTCAGGTGCCTCTGGAGGCTCAAGGTGAGAGAGGAACACAAGCCTATATATATAGTGTAATTCTTGGGGCGCTGGAAAGGAGAGAGGTAGGGCAGAATGAAAAGGGTGGGAAACAAGATGAGGAAGGGAGAGAAGGAAGGAATCAAAGCAAAAGGCCACTGGTGGTTGAATGCTCCCTCCTGGACCCACCACGCAGAAACCACCCACTTCTCTGGGCTCCCTTTCCTGCCCTACCTGGGTCATTTCCTTCAATGCAAGAAGTCCTGCCGTTCACACCTCTCTGTGTAGATACGGTGGGCTTTAATCTGGATTTCCACACCGCCTGTGGGGCTTAGGGGCGAGGAGCCCAAGGTTTTCTGTTTGAAGCCAGATGCTCCCTTCCAGCCTGGCTCTGAACACTGACTCTCAGATGCGTCCTGACTGTTATCTTGCAGGGCCTGAAGAAGACGCATTTTCCTACCTCTATCTTCCCAGGATGGCCTGGCTTGGCTGGACCTCTGCTCCACGGGCACTGCATGAGAAATGGATGGCAGAACCAAGATGCCCTGCCTACCTCTTAGAGCCTGGGCTAGGGAAAGGGATGGTGCACAGAAGCTCTGTAAGTGGCTGCAGACAGCTGTGGAGAGATGCTGGGCGGTGGCACTGAGTCTCTAACGAGAGGCCTCAGAGATGTCCTGCAGCGTCTACTGCCGAGGCACAGACCACATCAGGAAGGGTTAGCTTTCTAGTATACCTGCCACAATAGGGCTCCGAGGGCAGGCCTGAGTGAACACTGGTCACGAAGCTGCCTTCCAGGGCTGGTGCTACAATCAAGTCAGGGGACAGTCAATGCTCCGTCACAGGCCACCGTGTCATGGGGTACCATGGCTCCGTCACCGTTATCTCTGGTGCCGACCCCAGCAGCAGATGTGTCATGAATGTTATTTGAAGAAGGATGGGTAAATTGCTTTTGTATTGGGAATCAAACCCAGGGAGACCCTCCCACTGACCTGCATCCCCAGCCCTTGGTATGTAGAGATAAGGTCTTGCTAAGTCATGCAGGCTGGGCTCAGACTCTCAGTCTTCCTGCCTCCGCTCCCCACAGTGCTAGGGTTACAGATGTGCACGCCACCCCAATGCATGCATGTACTTTTTATACATCACCTCTTCAAGACCAGAGTCCTCACCCCATCTTACAGATGAGGACCCTGAAACTTGCAAGTGAGAAATCACTTGTTCAAAGTCCTACTGTTAAGTGGCAGCAGGACTCTGCCCACTGGATCTGGACTCTAGTCATAAAGTTAGTTCTTTTTCCCTTGTATTGTACCACATGCCCGCCAGGAAGTGGGCTGGGTAGAAACCATAACCAATTTAGAGCTACACTTATATATTTTTCACAATTCACTGAGGCATAAAGAACAGAAAACTTAGTTCAATTTAAGGAGATGCTGTATTTACTGGCATTAGACATAATCACACAGAAAAAAACACACGTCTGTATATATAGATATAGATATAGATAGATAGATAGATAAGATTCCCAAGTCTGAGTCTGGCCAGAGTCTGGGCCAATTGTAGCTACAGGAAACTCAATGCAGATTTAATGACACCATGAATCGCCCCCAAAGGCATGCTGTCACCCCATTCTTCATCCATACCCTGAAATTAT